TCCCAAGACAGCACCTCTTGCCCCCTCCATCCGGAACTGCAGCCTGCCAGTCAGCCCGCCTGTCTGCCAGCTAAGGAAACTCTTGGGCGGCTTCCTCGGGCTCTTGCTCCGCTTGGCGGGAAATCTGCTGCGGCCCAGCCTCACCCAGGCTCTGCCTCCAGTGGCCCACAGGTAAATTGAGTTTGAGACCCCTGGTCAAGAGGGATGGATGGACGGGCGCGAGCTCTCCGCGGCAGGCTGTGAATAGAAACGGGGGGGAGGGGAGCATGCACGAGAAGGCTGTTCTCTCGGCATCACCCCCTCCCACAGCACGTCTGGGCAGGGAGCGGAGCAGCACCAGGCAGAAGGAAGGAGAAGCGCACGGCTAGGTTGCGAGCCGGGCCCCTCCTTCACCTCAGCTGCAGAGAGGATGAGGCGACAGCAGCAGCCTCAGGTGACCCGTGAAGAACAGCGGGGAGGGGAGAGAGAGAAAGACCTAAAAGGAGAAGCCCCTGTGGCGCCAAACGCCTGAAGGAGAAGACTGCCGAGCAGGGAGAGGGCTCCCTTTCTGGACGCGTGGGGGGCAGGTGGGACTCAGCCCCTACGAGTCGGGGAGGAAGCCCCCGCACTCACCAAATAGGTGCCGCCACCGCTGCTCCTGCTCCAGTTTGGTCTGAAATTAGAAGCCAGGTAGATTTTGAGAGTGGGTGGGTGTGCTTGCAGGTGGCCGTGTTGCACTCATGCGCATGTGCACAAGCGCGACATGCCCACCTGTGAGTGTGACGTGCCCCATTCGCAAGCGGGGGACGGAGATCCGTGTCTGCGGCCAAGTTAAAGGAAGCCCACAGACTGGCGCTGGGCCACGCACAGGGGGTTGACGACCCCTGGTCTACAGGATTTCCACTCATTCTGTAGTCCTCCCAATTGAAGCAAAGTGTGTTGCTTATATAACACCCCATAATGCTTAAGGCACTCTCTGGGTGGTTTACAATTTAATTATGCAGGTTACACATTGCCTACCCATAGCAAGCTGGATACTTAATTTACCATCCTTGGATGGATGAAAGGCTGAGTGAACCTTGACCCGGCTACCTGGAACTGAACCTGGATCATGAGCAGAATTTTAGCTGCACATGAACACATGAGGCTCCTTAATATTTAACAGCTCACATTTCTAATTCTTCTTTGTGCTCATAAGGTATAGACAATTATACAAACAGGAAAACAGGGAAGATTCTCAGGGCACCAAAGCGCAGGCCAATATGAAACACCTTGTTTTCGTCATGTTACTGCTGTAATCATAGAATCCCTAAGCACCCACAGGCCTAGAAACTTGCAGAGTCTTTGTTGATGGTGGTTGACCCATTTATTGCTAATTCAAAAAATTTTCCAAGACCTGCTGACTAGCAATATAACAATGATGACGTGATGTGTTGTGAACCACCCAAAGAGTGTACGCATAAATTAGGCGGTACAGAAATTGAAACAAGTCAGACAAGAATTATTTTTAACATTTGCAACATTACAATTTACAGATAACCCACCTTCTGGAGTGGTGGGGCAGTATTTACAGTTACAACATCTTTTGCCATCCCTAGATGGGCCCCCAGTCTTGAGTACTTCAGGAACCCCTCCCACGTTGGAAATATTATTTGCACCTTCAGAGAAACTGAAAGGCAGGAAGGAGAGAGACATTCACACATTACTTTAGAGACTTTTTTGACAACCCTCAGGCCGCCAACTGAGAGAGTTCTTGCATTTATCTCCTCCGACAATGAGGAAACATTGGAGTAGGGTATTTGGCAAGGATGTTCTCACGGAAGACAATGTTTCCACAGCTGCATTATTATAATAAAACACACAACAACAAATGAAGCAAGGACACAGATCACAAGCTATTCGGCAAAAATATGGTGCAATCTGTCATCAGTTATCATCAACAGTATGAGATGAAAAATAGCTCTGCATCAGGAATTGTCTCTACATCATTTGGCTACACCACCAACCTACTCAGTGCTGTTCATCATCATGGTAGCTAAGATTGCAATGATAAATACTGTAACTGGCTATTTGGTGTCTGTCTGGAGTCAGAATTGCTGGTTGTATCTTTATGGCAGGGTGGTCAAATTATTGCCCAGGACTAGTTAGCTAGCTATTTATTTATGTGTTTATGTGTTTATGTGTTTATGTGTTTATGTGTTTATGTATGTATGTATGTATGTATGTATGTATGTATGTATGTATGTATTTATTTATTTATTTATTTATTTATTTATTTATTTATTTATTTATTTATAATATTGTTACCCTGACTTTCTCCTTCAAAAAGACCCAAGGCGCCTTACATTATTAAAAGACAAAATATAATGCTAAAATCAGCAGGTACACAAACATTAAAAAGGATCAAACAACTATATTAAAAAACAGTAAATAAAAGCAACATCAAAAATACATTCAAAGCAGTAAGGCACAACAATCCATTTAAAAATCCTACTCAGACAGCCAGTCACTGAGGGAAAGCTTGCCTGAAGAACAAGGTCTTCACCGGCTCGAGGAAAGATAGCAAAGATGGGGCCAGCCTGGCCTCTTGTGGAAGGGAGTTCCAAAGTCTGGGAGCAGCAATTAAGAAGGCCCTCTCCTGTGCCTACATCAAACGCACCTGTGAATGTGGCAGGACCTAGAGGAAAGCCTCTCCTGATCATCTTAACACCTGGGCAAGCTCATAAAGGGTGACATAGTCCTTGAAATAGTTTGGACCCAAGCTGTTCAGGGTTTTAAATGTTAGAAACAGCCTTCTGGTTCTGGCAAACTGACTGGCAGCCAGTGGAGTGGCTGTAAAGGGGGTGGAGGTTATATGATCCCTATGATCAGCCACAGTTAGTAATCTGGCTGCTGCATTTTGGACCGGCTGAAATTTCTTGACATTTTCCAGACTTCCATCTTTTCCAGGGAAGAAAGGTGAACTGCCTGTTTACAGTCTTCCAAGAGACCGATAAGAGACTTCTTATCTAGAGCAGTGATTCTTACCCTTGGGTTACTCAGGTCGCATTTTGGACCGGCTGAAATTTCTCGACATTTTCCAGAGTTCCATCTTTTCCAGGGTGAACTGCCTGTTTAGAGTCTTCCAAGAGACCTATGAGAGACTTCTTATCTAGAGGTTAATTCGGTTGTTTTGGAGTTGTGTGTTTTTTTTTCCTGCACTTGGGGCATTTTTTGATCTAGAGGTTAATTGGGTTGTTTTGGAGTTGTGTGTGTTTTTTTTTTCCTGCACTTGGGGCATTTTTGGTGGTCTGTTTGCTCTATAGAAGGTTCCAGAAACCTTCAAAATTGCAGAGAGCTGATGCTGAACAATCCCAACTTAAATCCAGTTGCTAGTCACAACCAGAGTAGACCCACTTAATCAATTGCTAAATGGAAAGTCCAAACAGGGTCTACCCTAGTTGCTACTGTATCACTAGAAAAGTGGCAAATTTGACAGTGAAGGCAATCATCATGATGCTCTGCATAGCCAGTCACTTCACCAAGGACAGTCCAGAAATGCAGGCAGCTGTATCGATCCCCCTCAACAAATGTTGATCAATTGTAACTTTCGCAAAATTAATGCCTCTTAATTGTTCATCCAAGACCAAACAACGCTCAAATCTATTCTCGAAGGCTTTCACGGCCGGGATCTAATGGTTGTTGTGAGTTTTTCGGGTTCTTTGGCCGTGTTCTGAAAGTAGTTCTTCCTGACGTTAGGAAGAGCAACCTTCAGAACACGGCCAAAGAACCTGAAAAACCCACAACAACCAATGCTCAAATCCTCTATGTTACAGCAAGAAGAGCCAACAACAAAATATTGCTCCTCAGAAAATCCATTTTCACCTCAGCTATGAAAGAACAGCAGCTAAGCCCCGGCTTCCCTACAGCACCACCTGGGACTAACAACTGGCCTGTGAGTTTTGCACAATCACACTCCCCACCATTGCCAAAATCCTACTGAAGTTTTACTTCAAAGTCAAATTGCATGAGGTGCAGTGAAGCATCCCCCTTCCCAATAAGTAAAATCGCCAATATCACAGTGACAAACTTGTCACTAATATCACAGTGACAAACTTGTCACTTGCAGGCACACAACCAGCACCTCGTTAATTAGCTGCCATCTGCCACCGGGACAGAAAGTGATTTCACTTCCTTTCAACGAAGCCGCCCACCAGCTTCTCTGGCCAGGGGCACTTACAGATACTGGATTTTGGTTGCTACTGGGCTGAAAAGCATAAAATACTGCCTTAAGGCGTCAGACGCAGAGGTCGCCAGGCAATAAATCCCTAACCTTGAAGGAAAGCAGGCGAACTTTGTGCAGCAAGAGGAGAGAGAGAGAGAGAGAGAGAGGTCGAAGCATCCCCCTTCCCAATATCACGGTGACAAACTTGTCACTTGCAGGCACCCAACCAGCACCTCGTTAATTAGCTGCCATCTGCCACCGGGACAGAAAGTGATTTCACTTCCTTTCAACTAAGCCGCCCACCAGCTTCTCTGGCCAGGAGCACTTATTTTGGTTGCTACTGGGCTGAAAAGCATAAAATACTGCCTTAAGGCGTCAGACGCAGAGGTCGCCAGGCAATAAATCCCTAACCTTGAAGGAAAGCAGGCGAACTTTGTGCAGCAAGAGGAGAGAGAGAGAGAGAGAGAGAGGTTGCAAAAGAGCCCCAGACCGTCCCCGGCACACATCTAGGGCAAAGGTAGCAGGCGTCTCCCTCCTTACTACAAGACAGTGCATAGTCTAATAATATCTTATTATTAACATGTTCCAAAGCGCGCGAGGACAAAACGAAAGAGGAGTCGGGGACACACCTCCTCTGTATTTACTGGAGCCCCCTGTATGGGAAGGGAAGGCGCAGGGCCCTGGAAGGGAAAATAGGCTGCCAATTGCGACCGCCGCCGCCGCCGCCGCCCCCCTTCCTTTTGCCCTGCAGGAGCCCGCGCATGGCCGGCCTGCTCGCTAGCAAGCCGCCCCGTTCCCCCGCTCTCGGCCCGCTCACCTGGGCGATCCCGGCGCCCATCAGGCCGGCCCCGATCACCGTCACATGCTTCACCGCGAGTTTCTTGGCGGCCGCCGCCGTGGAGGCGAAGCGCACGAAGGAGCGGGTGGCGAAAGCCATGGCGGCCGCGCGCGCGTGTGTGTGTGTCCCGCGGCCCGAAGGAGGCGAACGAAGGCGTNGGTCGCTGGGACCCCGCCCTCTGGCAAGGGCGCTCGCGCGAGGCGCCCTTTTTTCCTGGCCCTGGGCTTTTTAGAAGCTTTCCTCTCCCGTTTCTTACGAAGCTCCAGCTGTATGCAGATACCGTATTCAAACGGAAGAAGAGATTGGGCGTTTTAAAATATTTTTTATTAGGAATATTTGGAAACATGGCAATAAGGTAACGTGCACCACACCCTTGGCTCAACAATCTCTGACACTCTCTCCCTAGATGTCGAGCTGGATAAACGCATTGGCAAAGCAGCTACCATGTTCTTTAGACTCACAAAGAGAGTATGGCTCAATAAGAAGATGACGGCATAATCCAAGATCCAGGTCTATAGAGCTTTTGTCCTGAGCACATTCCTGTACTGCAGTGAGTCCTGGACCCTTTGTGCAGGGCAGGAGAGGTAGCTGAACACAGTCCAAATACATTGTCTCCGACACATTTTTGGTATCAACTGGCAGGACAAAGTTCCAAATAGAGTAGTCCTAGAACAAGCTGGAATTTTTAGCATGTATATATTACTGAAACAGTGCCGTCTACGTTGGCTTGGGCATGTCGTGAGAATGGCTGATTTTTGGATTCCAAAAGATCTCCTGTATGAAGAATTAGTGTAGGGAAAGCGACCCAGAGGGAGACCACAGACCTTGACATCTGAGCGTTCACCCTGGACGCAGGCCAATTTGGAGAGACCCTTGTCCAGCAGGCTGAGGCAAGGAGGCAGTCCCAAAGCCAGCAAAACCAGGGAGGTGGACAGGGGACAGATTATATTTGTCTTCAATGTGGAAGAGATTGTCACTCTCCAATTGGCCTTCTCAGCCACACTAGACGCTGTTCAAAGACCTCCATACAGAGCACACTACCATAGTCTCTCGAGACTGAAGGATGCCTACTACAACACCCTTCTGGGACGCATGCCGTCACGTGGTGAAGGGGTCACCCAAGGCAGAAGGGTCGCAGCTCAGACCCCACCCCTCCTCAGGCGACCACCCTCTTCAAGGCCGCTGCTGGGTGGCAGCGGAAGGTGACACTGGCAAAGGTGGGGAACTGTGGTGACATTCAAGCTAACTTTTGGTAGTACGGAGCAGAAAGTGGCCATGGTAAACCCTGTCTATTCAGTCTGTATGCAGAATATTCCATACAGAAAACTAGACTAGATTCAGATGGAGGAGGAGTGAAAATTGGTTGAAGAAATGTCTACAATACGTATAAGATATGTGAATGACACCAAATCACCCACAGAAAGCGGCGATGACTTCCAAAATATTTAAGGCATGATTTTACTAGTTCCACATCCCCAGTGAGCTTCCACGGCAGAGTGAGAATTTGAACCCAGACCTCCTGAGTCTTAGTTCATCACTCTGTCCCCTACATCAGTGGTCCCCAACCTTGGGTCTCCAGATGTTTTTGGACTTCACAGAGGTGGTAGTGAAGGCTTCTGGGAGTTGTAGTCCAAGAACATCTGGAGGCCCAAGGTTAGGGACCACTGCCCTACACCACACTGATACTGTACACATGGAAAACTAGTTTCCAGGAGTTTGGGTATGAATATTTATAGAAAAAGGATCACTTGCAATTAATTTCTTTTCACCATACCTAAGCCCTCAGTAGATGACATTAGAACACATCAGAAACTATTTGTAATGTATGGACTCTAGGGCTATAGTTGAGCAGAGATCACCACAAGCAATTGTACTAGATTTAAACCACTTCCAGCCTAAATAGACACAGATACAATATTAGAACAAAATCAGACCAGGGCATAGATAATCTTAAAAAAATTCCAACATCCCTAGGATGGGAAGGAGTTGGATGCAGCACTGCTTCATTTGGCCTAGTGTCTGATCAGCGGAACCTGGCGCAGACAGTGAACCCTCAACCTACGGACTTAATCCGTATTGGAGCGGTGGCCGCAGGTCGCAAAGTCCATAGGTCGAGGGTCTCTTTCCCATAGGAATGCATTAAAAACCCATTAATCCGTAACTGTCCGAAGAAAAAAATACCTCCTCACACACACAAAAGAAAATAAAATAAATACACCTTACCTGTCCGAAGCCTTCCAGGAGTCCCCTGCCACTGCCGTCACCGCTGCCCGAGGGCTTCCCCGCTGCTACTGGAGGCTTCACGGGGGTCCCTCGCTGCTGCCATCGCTGCTGCCCAAGGCCTCCGAGGGCTTCCCCCCACTGCCAGAGGCCTCTTGGAGGTCCCTGCCCCGCTGACGCAGGCTTTCCCAGGGTGGACACTGCCAGAGGCCTCTAGGAGGTCCCTGCCCCCGCTGACACAGGCTTTCCCAGGGTGGAAATGGCCTACCAGTCTACCGCCTGGGAAAGCCTGATAGACCAGGCCTACAAGGGGAAGCCCTCCCCGGTCTACCCTGGAAAAGCCGGCAGTAGCAGCGGACCTCCGAGAGGCTTCCCATGGTGGTGGAGAAGCCCTGGGAAGACTCTGGAGGCATGATCAGGGGCGAGGGGGACCTCCGAGAGGCCTTCCAGGGCTTCTCCGCTGCTGTGGGAGGCCTATTGGAGGTCCCCCTGCTGCCGCTTATCATGCTTCGGAGGCACAATCAGCGGCGGGGGGGGGACCTCCGAGAGGCCTCTCATGGCAGCGGAGAAGCCCTGGAAGGCATTCGGAGGCATGATTGGCAGCCTACGGATCGGAAGGGGGAGGCGGGGAAAGCGCCAAATTTGAACTTGGCCCTTTCCTTACCTCCCCCTTCTGGTCCGTAGGTCGATTCTCCGGCTGCATGTTGATGGGAAATTTTGCAGCTGGAGAAGTCCGTACCTCGAAAAGTTCGCAGGTGGAGCCATGAGTAAGTTGAGGGTCCATTGTGTTAGTTAATTGCCAATGTAATCTACTCTTATTCTGTAGTATGAAAATGCCTCATTATTGCTGCATAAGGGTGCAGTGATCATATTGCGCAGCAGAGCAAATCAAAATTCTACAAGGCAATTCTAAAAATGTGGGCAGCACCCCCAAAATTATAATGTTTAAAGCTTTGGATCAGTGCAAAATCAGGCCCAGTTGTCGCACACAGTCTGCTCTCTCTCTATACGAAATATGCAGACGTTTGGATGAAGACTTTTCAAATTCCAATTTTTTTAATGTAGAACTGTTCCCCCCTGTTTAGAAATAGGCGACCCTTAGGTACCCCAGATTTAAAATAGCTCACATAAACTGAAAAAAAAAAAGAGTCTTGCTTTCCTTGAAAGAGAATTGTGGCTGCACACACTTTTTTATTTTGAAATAATCCAGGCTGTAGAGGCTGAATTGTTGGTCTTCAAAAAAGGCCTTTCAAATGGGGGAAACAGTGGTTTCTTATAACACTGAGCATGTTGCAGGCTTGCTGGGAAGAGTGTTTTCAGCAAAAGCTAGATCTGAAGGGGAGGGAGGGGGAGGAAAATATAAGAAGAGCTGAAAAGTAACAACCCAAACTGAAAGAAACTTGAAGGGGTAAAAAAAAAAAAAACCAGGCCTGGCTTAAAGAAAGTAATGATCCTCCAGAAAGAGTGCAGTCCAAGAGCAAGGGGATTACTCTGACTTATGAATAGCTGAGTCAGTTTGATATGGCAACAGAGTATGAAGCTTCTTTCTGTACCTCAGCCATATCACTGTCTTTATACAATTGCTTGATAATTTAAACACACAGAGAGAACCTTCAACGATGTTATGTGCCATCAAGTCACTTCTGACATGTAATGACTATATGAGTTAATGACCTACATAATGTCCTATCATTAACAACTGTGTTCAGGTCTTGCTAACTAGCGGCAGTGGTTCCTTTATTGAGTAAATCTATTTCATGTAACGTTCTCCTCGCTTTCTATAGCCCTGCCCAACAATTTCCCCAGCAATATTGTATTTTCAGATAAGCTCTGTCTTCTCACTCTATGTGCAAAGTACAATAGCCTTTGCAAATACAATAGCTTCAGTTTCCTTAGTAAGTGTCCAGGCTTGCCTTGATTGACTATCTGCTTATCTGAGTTTTTAGTGGCCTAGGGTATCTGTAAGGCTGTCCTCCAATACAACTGTTCAAATGGATTGATTCCCTCCCTTTGACTTTCTTCACTGTCTTTTACATAGTATGGATGATTTTGACCTTAGTTTCCAGTAACAATCTTTGCTAACTCCTAATTCCCCCCCTTTTTTAAATGTAAAAAAGCAGTTTTATCCTGTGGCCAGAAAAGCACCTTTTGAAAAACATGCAGGCAACATATTCATAGAACATAACTTTTCTTTCTCAGGTTGCCTACCTCAAAGCAAGGGTTTGGAAACTGGAATATAGCTATCTAGTTTGCATTCTGCAGAATGGGCATGGCAACAATAGTCTACCTGAGAAGCTAAAGGGTCTGTGTCTTTCTTTTTTGCATGTGTTGCACTCACATACTTTACATCTTTGCTTCAGAATTTCATTAAATCAAAAACTGTGTGTCAGAGAGGTACTGGGTGCAAATCCCAGACAAGCCCCCATATACCTTCTAAATCTTTACACTCTGCAGCCACGTCATACCTGTTCTTGGTTCTGTCGT